TGCTGTTGCCAGACTGTGGTGGGGACGTGTGCCATCCTGTATGCTACTTCTCAACCAAATTTAAGTGGCATCAGTTAAACAATTCCACTATTGAGATGGAGACATTAGCCATGTTGCCCTACAACATTTTGAAGTGTATGTAGGCTTGAGTTCATGCCCAGTGACAGTCTACACCGATCATAACCATCTTGTTTTTCTTGCCCAGATGTGTAACAACAACCAGCTCTTGATGCGTTGGGTAGTCCTGGCCCAGAGCTACAACATCAATATAAAGCATAACAGAAGAGCAGACAATATGGTAGCTGACATGGTATCCTGTGGGTGAGACCATACCAATGGACATTGTGAAGTGGTTGTATAATGATGGGTGAGGTGGTGGTAGATTTAGTGTGTTAACAGTTAATGGGAGGGGTTTGTTCTTATGGGAGGGGGGTGGGGTACGTGCCATTTTAAAAATTATTTAGCGAATAATATAGCTAATGAACTAAAATATTTATTTTTATCATCAACATCCAGTTTTTATAGTGCAATGTTTGGCTATTTAAAAGTAATTTATGTAAGCTATTTTATCTTGTTTCCTTATAATGGAAGGTTGGTGAAGTTAATTTTTATTTCCTGTCATCATAAGCAGTTTATCTGTATGGGACTTTTATTGTGAAGGGTCACCGACTGAAATTGTTCTGTTATGGGAGCAAAGCATTGACTAGTTGTGACAAAGTAAACAGGTAAACTGTCCTGGTTCAGGCCACATTTTCTTGTTCTTATTATTCTATTACTACTTCCAGGATAGGTCAATTAAACTCCTGGCTACATTTATAAAGGTTAATAGGAAGAGCGACAGAGAGAGGTATTTGTGTGCGTCAGCCGCTCCCACAGAGCTGGTCAGAAGCGGAAAAGTGAACAAGAATTTCTCTTCTCGCTAGGAACTCCTTCGATGAAGTTGTTTGTCCAAAGTTTGCAGAAATAAGGCCGTTAAGTCAGTTCGTTCTTCTCAACTAATCTTTCAGTGGCTCACGCACACAAAATGGGACTTGCAAGAGATTTCCCCGCGTGGCGCACACACAAATTATATGACTCACAAGAGGCAGGACACCATAGTTAGATATCATAGTTTTTACAATTCTTATGGTTGTGGAATTGTGAAGCTATCAAACCATGGTTATCGTAAAATCGGTTAATCTCTAATGCCAGGTAAAGAGAATGATGGAGGGGCCTACATGTAACCCAAGAAGCCTGAGCCATAGTCTACAGCAGTTGGTCCAAGTGCACCAGAATTCCTTTGTGGACCCCCGGAGTTGCAAAGCGCTATTTGAATTCAAACTCTGGCCTCTCACTGGCTGAGAGCCAACAGACTCCCCATGATCCCCCAGGAGCTGCTAATGACGTCATGCAGGTGATAAAAGAGACCCGGCTACGCAGCTCCATGCTTTTTCCCGTGCACCGCTGTTACTACAAGGACCTCTCCAAGTTGTTCTGTATGATCCGGTCGCTAATAGGGAGCAAACACGCAGATGTTTGTTTAACTTTCAGTTTCGTTTTGAGTTTACTTTTTATTTTTAAAAGACCAAGGCCACATGTCTTTCACTCATGGGTGGACTTTACAGACGTTATAGGATCCACAGTCAGCTGTTTTTTCCTGCAGAAGTACGAATTCCATACTTTTTGTTGACATCACTGTTTCCCACCTCTGCCACGGAGGAAACCAGCTCATCCCAGTCGTTCCCGGGACAAGATAAAGGCCCCAGTCTGCTTTCAGCCACAGACCAGCCATGGACTGATTATGCACGGATGCGGAGGAGCACCAAGTAAGTGGTTCGGCTTATGTTTGATCAGAGACGAGTTTAATAGTTAGTTCTACTTTTGAATGCAATATTGAATGCAACACACGTCTGTTTACATCGACGACTACTGATGACGTGTCAGTTTTTTCCACGACGACTACTGATGATGTGACGGCTTCTTAAACTGCTGCCCAAGTCATAGGAGAAGATTTCTACCTGGGTTTTTGAGTCAATTAATGGTTTATAAGAAATTATTTGCTCTTGCTATTTTACTTTTATTATTATAGAAATCAAGGTCTTTCATATACAGGTAACCTTTTCAATTTACTACACATAAGTTCCAAACCCTGAAAGTTCTGATTCTCAACTTCACAAAAGGCAACAACTGTGTACAAACAAAAATATATTTGTTCAAGGGTTAAAAAGGGAATTGTGGAAATGAATTGACGTTTAAAAACATGCAATATAATATGGGTGATTTATCAATATGATTAAATGAGTAATGTTGTTAGTTGTTGTAGTTGTAGAAATGGAACAAAAACAACAGTGGAGAGTTGTTACATTCAATTTGACTTGGAAAATCAAAGTAAAAAAATAGAGAACACTCACAAACTTAAAAGAACAAATGACGTGCAGAAAAGACACTCATGCGAAAAAGCAAATAACGCGAGCAGGAGTACTATACTGTGTTTGTTTGCCTCCGCCAACCAGTCCAGTTTCAGTCTACCTACATTTCTTTTTTCAGACTCATATCAATCAAAATCAAATCAGTTCTAAGTGACCATTTGTGCCAAATTAAAAAATATTCTCTTCAGGCTTTCTTAGGATAATGTGTTCATGAAGCAAAAAAAAAGGTTTTTGAACTGAATTCTAATCAGTTCATCCTCTAGTCATAGTGAATGTTTGAGCCAAATGTAAGGTTTGACTTGGACTAGTTATGCCGCTAAAAGCTTAGATTGTTTTCGGACATATATAACACATGGACCTTCTGTGTCCTCCTCTTGCTCTTCATTACATTAATCAAAACATGTAACTGACTTGATTTCTGCTCCAGGGTCCTTGTGCTTTATCTTTGATAATCCTGGATAGTGACTGCGGCCACATTGAGGATTGTGAATTTGTGGATTGTGATTATGAATTGTGACCATGATAGATCGTGGCTTGAGGATCATGATTGCAGATTGTGATCATGATAGTGGATTGTGATTGTGGTGGCAGCTGATCGTGGCATTATGATTACAACAAGATTAAAAAAATATATCTATTTTGTTGTTTCTTGTAGTTTTTCCTTACTTTTGCAGAGGGTTAAGTGAATTTGGGTAATTTGTGAATATGGGTTATACAAATAAAATTTGATTGATTGACCTTTAACCTTCAACAACTAAAATCTAAACAGTTAATGGTGAATGTTTATGGCAAATGAGAAAGGATTTCCTCAAGGCATTCTTGGGATATCGAGTTCATAAGAATGGGGGAGAAAAACATGCCTCCAGCCACTGGCTGTTGCCGGCGCAGAGGCATAAATGGAACAGAGGTCTCACATAGAGATGTATCCGAGTTGTCGTTAGATGTTTTTGAAAGGGCTAGTTCACCTAAAAATTTTAATTCACACATTATCTACTGACCACTATGCCGATGGAGGGGTGGGTGAAGTGTTTGAGTCCACAAATAACTTATTAAATTTAAGGGTAAACTTGCAGCCGAATCCAATACAACCCCTGGTTGCTGTTGTGAGACCCCGGTGGCAACATCTACTGCCACAATAACATACTACGACCACCCGATTCTTCTCCACCTCATCTGTACTCAACCTCTTACTGTCATTCCTTAATGTCCTTTAATGCCAAAGTTGACTAAATTCACCAGCAACTGACTCCTAACTCCTCCTATAGTCCATTCTCTGGCCTCCCTAATAACTGTCATCATACATTCCTCCCTCCCCTCTGGTCTGGTTTCCTCATCTTTCAAATCAGTTGCAATAACTTCTATACTTCTTAAATCTATCATTGGCATGCAGTCAAAAAAGAGTTCCCTCCTTACTTTTCTGGTAAGTCTGCCTCCGAGTTTGCTGATGACCAGACATTTTTTAAACAACAAACTGACTGTATATAGTAATGCTCCTCCAGTAGAGACATAAATACACATTGATAGTGACACTGTCTTTAAACTCTTCATGGGAGTGAAAGAGCAGAAAAGTCTTCGTCCAGACAATGTAGGTGGCAGACTTCTAAAGAACTGTACAGAGCAGCTGGCTGTTATTCTTTCTTCCATCTTTCCAGTTTCAAGTCTTTCCAGTTTTACAGGGTTCCTCATCTCTGGAAAGACTCTGTAATTGTACCTGTGCCCAAGATGACACCAAAGTCCCAAAATGACCTTCGGCCTGTTCTTCTCACCTCTTTCATTAGGTGAGGGCAACACTTCAGGTGGAGCCAAGTCTCATCTGCCCCATCATCCTGTGTGACTACCCAGTTGTCACCGTAAAGTCACTCTTCTTCCTGGGCACCTTCATCACCCAGGACCTGAAGTTGGAGCTGAACATCGGCTCCCTCACCAAAAAAGTTCAGCAGAGAATGTACTTCCTGCAGCAGCTGAAGAAGTTCAACCTGCCAAAGCAAATGATGATGAAATTCTACACTGCCCTAAAACTGCAGTCCATCCTCACCTCCTCCATCACCGTATGGTACACTGCAGCCACTGCCAAGGTCTGGGCCAGACTGCAAAGAGATAAGATAAGATAGACTTTATTCATCCCACACTGGGGAAATTTGGACATCACAGAAGGAGAAGGGCATTAAGATAGAGAAAAAGAGAAATAGAAGAAAAATAGAAAATAAGAATCTATTTATCTTGTGCAAAAAACAACATCAAGATAAGATGATCCTTTATTCATTTATTAATCTCATGATGGGGAAATTTGCATATTATCAGCAGCAAGAGTCAAAATAGGCATCAGCAAGTAATAAGTAACATGCAATACTTAAGTGTAAGGAAATATAGAAACATATGAATGGAATTAAAACTAGTAAATACTCTGTAAAGCAGGAAATATATATGTGCATGAAGAAGTCTAATAAATAATCGATGACTCTAAACATTGACGAACATTCGGATCATTAATCACCATGAATAGAAAAACAAACAAACGAGATTGAATAGTTAAAACTATTAAACTATTAAACTGCACGTTGCCATGGAGACGATCACGTCTGGTAGCGGCTTTCCGCTGCGGCTGTGCGCGCTCCCGCGAGGTGCTGGCAGTCCCCGGCGGGCGAACGGAACTCGACACAACACCGGTGAAGCGGAGGCTGCCGCGTTTCCTGAACTCGGAGAGAAACTTGAAAGTTGTCCTCGGAGCCCCGGGCCTCTTCGTGGAGCATCAATGCCGACTCTCGGGCTCACTCGTCGGGGATTCTTCGGCCTCTGCGTCCGCCTTCATTGGTGAGTGATGAAGTCAGTGCGGTTCAACCGACGCCTTATTATGGCAGATACTGTTACACAGTCACAGGCTCACCGACGCTCACCCGGTTTGAAGTGTGTCTACCTCCGTCGGTTCTGTGTTATCAACAGACACAGACCTACAGACAGTGTTAAACCACGCTCCGTGGTTCGGGCTGGAGTTTTCACTCACATCCAGGCTGCGTCGAGTTTTGCTTCCTGCTTCTGCAAACTTCCTCTGGTTGAAGACAGAAATCAAACTCCAGCCACGAAGCCTCCTGTGATCAGAGGCTCGCAGTCACTTTTAATGATGCTGCCAGTGCCACTGTTGATCCTGTTACACTCCTGATGTATTAAAAAAAGATATGCATCCTTTTAACATCATTATATCTGTAATCAAACACAACTTTACTGTTAAAAAAAAGAGAATTAAATGAAGAATATCGCAGCACCAGCCACTGACAGCCACATACAAGTGAAAAGTCAATATTGGATCTATGATTTGAATTGTTTGCCTGACAAAACCAGACATTTAAAGGGATCACAGTGGGCACGGGGAAAGTGTGATTATTTACAGATGTAGAGCCGTTCTGTAAATCCTCTTTTTCTCGAGTTTGAATCACTATTTATATCCCACTGCAGCTTCCTGTTTCAGCTGTGATACTTAAGGGTGCAGAAACAGAAGCTGCTTCAAGCAGATTCTTTACACTCAAACTCTCATGAATGCAGTTTATTTATGTCCAAATAGCCTGAGAGCAGGTTGAACAGACTCTGATTCACCCCGACATCTTCCAGATCAGCTGATCTGAGGCCGCTCCATCAACTTCACTCTGAGTTAAGCACATATATGATGAAAGGGGGAAAACAGATAGCGCTCTGATGCTTCTATTCTCGATGGCAACTGCTGATTAAAGATAATTTGATTTTTAACACAATATGTTAAACACGATAGGAAGATGCCGTCAGTGCTAGAGAGATGATTCCTCATAGGTCTATTAATTAATGTTTCAGTGCAGGAGAACTGACTGACCACCTCATGTTCTGATGTTTCACACTGTTACAAAGACAGTGTAGATTTTAGAAGCAATGATGTGTAACATTGGGTTACAAGCCACAGTGTTGAGGTCCTGCTGATACACATTTGACAAATAGCGAGTCAGTCTCAGCTGTCTATCGTGACGTTTCCCCCCATATATAGCATCAAACAACACTTAGTTCAGTCCATGTCCCATCCGTTACCCTGGAGGAGAAGTTTTGGCTTTACTTTGTAGGAGCTGTCATGCCATTCATCTGTTTATACAGTCTATGGGGGAGACTGGGTTTGTTGATGGAGAGACGCCAATGAGCAGGTTAGCTGCAAAGACTCAGTTTTCCTGGTAACTGAGTCAGAGTTGGAGTCATTTCAGTTGCTGGGACAAAAATCCCAGAGTTTCCCTAATCTCAGGGTAACTTAACCTGTTGTCTGGAACAGAGGCCAGAAGGTCAGAGGTCATAGATCAGTGTTTTATGAAAGATAGATGTATATAATATTATGTAGGTTAATTATATGCATATGGGCCTCATCTTGTTTACTCTTCTTATTTTGATCTGTCTCGTTTTGTAACACGCGATGGACACAGGATCACAGGTTAATGACAAAAAGCACTCCTGTCTCTTGTCCCCCTGAAGCTAGGCGATGGACCAGATCCAGGTAAGTGACGAAGAACCTATAGTCCTGCGAGAAGACATCCGGAGGAGGAGGAGAAAGAAGGCCATCACGTCATCCTCCACTGCCTCCATGGACCAGATCTCAATCGAGTTTGTCCTGCCCCCGATGGCGTGGGGCGGAATCAGCCCCGACAGTCTGCTGCTGGAGGTCGCTGGGAACTGGACAGTGGAACAGGTCTTCTAATTCACCGATTCAATGCTGATGATCATGTGTTTATGGATGGGACAGAGATGATCATAGTGGCAACACATTTATTTACACATTTCCTGACTCCCAGGTGAAAGCTCAGGTTTGGCTGAAGGCGGTGACTTCAAACCTCAGTCCTGACTTCTACCAGCGGTTTTCTCCCGACCACTGCATCCTGCTCTACCAGAAGAAAGGCAACGTGTGTGAGATCTACGACAAGCACCAGGTCTTCCAGACGCTCGACTGCATTCGCTACTGGAAAGGTACTAACCAGTGACGAATGTTTTCATGACTGCCCAGTGAGTCTGTAACTGTACCTGCCGTGAACATGTCTGTTGTTTGTTTTTTTAAAAAGCCCTGAAGAAAAATGTGGGGCGGATCCAGCTGGTGCCTCGTCCCCAGCCCTCGGATGAGGCCATTCAGTACCAGAGCCACCTAAACTACTTGATTGGCTACGACGTGACTGATGTCAGCAACGTACACGACGACGAGCTGGAGTTCACCCGCAGAAAGCTGCTGACGCCGCGCCGCATCGAGTTGTCCAACCGTGACCCGCAACTCTACGCCATGGACCCCTGGGTGACCCGCAAACCACTGCCTGAGCATCTGCTCAGCAAAGTATGTGGGATTTTTATATAGTTTCTGGATAACCTCTTAAATATAATGCAGAAGATGTTATATTTTCTAAAATTAATACAAAGCTGGAATATTTAACATATTACTGATGTGATCCATCATTTTAAACACCAATATCCTTCAATCAGCTA